AGACCAGGGCTATTGCCTTGATGGTAGAACTGGTTTTCTGATCTTAAACCTGAAACAACAAACAATTTCTGTGTATTTATGGTTTTATCTTGCTATCTAATAGCAACGGACTCTTTTTTTTTTTTTTTTCCAGACCTTTCCTTGCTGACAGTGATGACTTCGATCTTTTACAAGTTTGAAAACACAGGCTTTTTCAATAGATTGGTAAGCCGAGATATCGCTCTGACTTTCAAAAATTTGAGTGCATAGGAAGAACATAGATTCAAAATAATGTTCAGGGTAGCATTTAAAGGAATTAAAACTTTAATTGGAATATAAATATGAGCCTATTTTTAGCAGCATAAAAGCTTTGTTGTGGGCATGATGTCTAAGGATAGAGACAAAGATACGGGACAGAGGTAACACCTTTTATTACACCAGAACAAAATACAAACTGAGAAAATTGCCCAGAGTTTAAGCAGGCAGCTACAAAATGATCCCCTCTTAAAGAAAGTGCATCTGGTATGTGTGAAGTAGAGGGACCATTAATTTGAAGTAAAGCAGAAATGAAAAGGAATTTGCCTTTTCAGATAAAGAGAAGGAATGTTTCCTAGCTTGTTTAAATTACTAGTGTAGATGAAGGCAGATATTGAAGTTATTTGTTTTCAGTTGATTTGTGGTTGGAAGGAAGTTCCACCTCTGCCTAATTATCTAACTCTTTCTTTACATTCTGCTTCTCTTGAACAAGTACCTCACTATCAATCTTAAAAGAAGCACTGAGCAAAGTGGGGGGGTAGAAGCTTGGGTCATAGAGCTGGCTAATAACAATAAATTTACCGTGAAACTCTGGGAAGGAGCAACAGAAAGAGCCAGGGGGTGGGAGAAAACCTTCAACTTGGAGCTCAGTAATTTAGGAATTGCTTTGCAAAAATACTTGTTTGCCTATGTAGTCATTGTGGGATGCAGCACTTAATGGGGACAGAAGTTCAGCTAGTACAGTCATGCCAGCTGTCCTGGAGCTGTGGGCTGCACTGAGGAGAACTCCTGGGAAACAGAAGCACTAAACACCAGTGTCCACAGTGATGGTTCTACAGAGTTTATTTTCCCCATGTACATCTAGATCGGATGACTTCCTTTGTACACTAGGGTGCAGAGTTATTTTTACTGCCCCTGTTTCTCTCTGAGCACAAGGAGAGAGAGAAACTTACATTTTATATAGCAGTGAGCATATGTGATACATGCCCCAGCCTGTGTGCTACGTGGGACTGTGCACTAATGGTAAATCTTACTTTCTCTGTCCTCTGTGACACTCTATTGCAGGCAGGGCATATTTTCCTCTTTCTGAGCAAATCAGTTTTCTTTGCAATACCATGCCCTTTCCATATTTCACAGGTTCAACAAACTTTGTAAGAGTTTGCAAAGTGTAAGGACACATGAAAAGGCGCATACATGAGATCCCATTCTTGTTTGCACTACAGCCACTCATTGGCAGTAGGCAGGACCTTCAAAAGATAGCTTACAGTAATCTTAAAGTGGTTTTAAGCTACCAGATTGATGTAAATGCTACTCAGTGCATATGTGTTCAGCACAGTACCCATGCCTTAGTTGTGCAGACACTGCACAAACAGAAAACCCCTGCATTGAGCTTCTGGCCATCTAAAAGACAATGTGCCGGAATTTAATCTCCTGCAGAGCTTGTACTTCATACCTAGAGAGAGGCATGACTTGTGGCACAACATTAGTGTGCAGCTGTGAGCATGCTGCTGTAGCAGATGGATTTCCATTTGGATGTGTATCGCTGCAGTCTGCACTAGATGGCCTGTTCTACAGCAAAGGAAGGTGCAGAACAGGGGAACTGCAAGAACTGCAAGAACTGCAAGAACTGATCAAGAACAGGGGAACCGCAAGAACTCCAAGAACTCATCAAGAGTGAGATGATCCATGAAGAAAAATGTGCCAAATATCTGCTGAGCTCTTTTACAGGAGACACACGCAAAGCAAGGTTCCCTCAAATCATTAGTCTTGGGGGAAACTACCACATGCCAAGCAGAAGTATTGCTGTCAGTGCTTTCTGGAGGAAAGAACAGCATGATGAGAAGGCCTGCGCCTTCCCCTGATGATCACAGAGAGGTATGTCCTCAGCACACGCACTGAAGAGAAAAGATTTATCACTGGCAATACAGTGTGGAGACTAGAGGCCAGATGTAGCTGACTTCACGGACTGCTTACTTGATAGAAACAGAGGGGGTTCCCTTACAACATCGATGATCTTCACTGTAATGAGAGCTGCTGCTGGCACCATACAGTTTAACCGTGCTGTAACAAGCCCGAGACATACTATTTTGGCAGAAGACACCACCAAGTGCTGGAGTGTAGGCACTGCATGTAGGCTTTGCTAAAGGAGAAGCTGTTCAGAAACATATTAACTACCCTGTACAAGTTTTTGGCCATGCTATAATGTATTTTTTCTGCAGTGCCAAACCAAACTAAAGGCCTTTGACATTTTTAAAATATGGATTAACTTGAAAAACCTTCAAACACAGTTTTAAGGTTTTCTAAAATAGAATTGGAAAAATGGAAGAAAACTGAAATGAGGCTTCAGGGAATGAAGTACTCAAATTAATTCTAACTTTTTAGGTGCTGTGTTTCAAACTGAAGATGCTCCTGGTGATGATAATGCACAACATAGTACTGATGCATCTCTACAGCTGCCAGTTGAGAAATCAGCTTATTTCACTCAGCGTCCTGTACAGCATACTATATTGCATGCATGAGAGCTCCATATGTACAGGAGCTAGTGTGACTGAAAAGAACACCTACCACTTTATTGTACGCTTAGGAAAAAAATTATCATAACTGACTGGGTGTAATCAGAGTTTTTAATGGCAACATGAGTTTTAAAGGAATGAGGAACTTGTATGTCTTTAAATAGTTACAAGATTAAATATTAAAAAAAAAAAAAGGGCTCTTCTTGGCACCCTCACTCATCTGCTGCTGCCATGGGCTGTGTGATGAGACTCATTGGTCTAGTGCAACACCCAGCTGAAGACAAAACAGAAGAGGCCACCCTGTGATCATCTTGCAGGCCAGGGGTGCTGCAATCCTAGAGAAGAAGTCTTAGCATTGCTGGAAGGTGCCTGCGATGGGGCTTGTAGGTTTCTGTTGGACCTGAAAAGCCTGAAAGCAGATGAAGGGAGGGGAACTTTGCCGAAGCATCTCTTGTAAGCTGCCAAGTGGGAGAAGCTAGTTTTGAGTCTGCTGCATACAAGAGGTCTGTCTGGTTGTCAGGGTTACATCCACTCTTGATGCAAGAGTAGAAAGTGTTTACTGGGTGCAAATTGTGTTTAAAAATCCTAATAGCAAAAATCCTAATAGCATTATCAGTTTTAACTCTTTGAAATCAAGTAAATATTTGTAGGGCAAATCACAGCCCAAGCTCGTTGGCTGCTTTGCTGCCCACCAGTTTTATCCATGTGTTGAACAGATCAGTATATGCTCATTCATTTAGCCAGAATTCACTGTTTTCCAATAGAAAACTGCTCAGCTCAGATCATTTACCAGCACCTGCATTTGCTCCTCACATAAATCAGTATTGATATGTGCGTCAGATTGTATCAGAAATCTCTTACGTCTGCTGAAAACCAGCAGGACTACGACATATATTTAGCAATATCTTCAGTTTCAGAAATGTACTCAGTCAAATGTTTATCAACATGGGATTCCTGTTTTAGCCCAGCATTTAAAATACTGTAACTCATGTTGATTTCCTGTATGTTAATACTACTTTACTCTTATTTACTTGCTTCCCTTTACTTGTTATCCGTATGTTGCATTGTGGTATTACATGTGTATTGAATCAGCTCCTTGCGATCCTGCAGGAGCCCACTTCAGTGACTGGGTTTGACCTGTCTGGGACTCCTGGCCAAAGCTGCAGTGAAGCCAAAACGCTGTGATTCGGGCTTAGAAAAATTTGTGGTGGACAGAGCAGCAAACTTCAGGGCTGTATCCCTGCTCCTAGCACCACAGTCAGTAACTGCATGCTTGGCCACAGAGCCCAGAGGCAGAGGATGCCATCAGAGCAGCCTGGTCCCTTCCTGCCGCACTTTGCAGAGAGCTTCAGTTCTGCAAGACAGGGCAGGAGTCTTTGGAGCAGTCATGCTCCAGGGACGCTGTGTGGTCAAGCACCTGATCAAGGGTCAAAGGAAGACTAGGGAAAACATGGGGCCTGCTGCTGAATGGTGTACGGCACCTGGTAACAAATGACATGGAAAAGGCCAAGGTACTCAATGCCTTCCCTCCTCCATGTTCACTGGTAAGATCAGTGTTCAGGAATCCCTGGTCCCTGGGACCCTAGGGAAAGTCTGGAGCAAGGAAGACTTACCCTCAGTGAACAACGACCAGGTTAGGAACCACTTAAACAAACTGGACATACATAAGTCCATGGGGACGAGTGCTGAGGGAGCTGGGTTATGTCATTGCAAGAGCACTCTTTGAATGGTCTTGATGACAGTGAGAGGTTCCTGAAGGCTGGAAGAGAACAAATGACACTCCCATCCTTGAGAAGCCAAGAAAAAAGATGTGAGGAATTGCAGGCTGGTTAGCCTCATCTCAATTCCTAAAAAGGTGACAGAGCAACTAATCCTGCAAATGAGTTTCAAACGCATGAATCACAAGGTGATCAGGAGTAGTCACTATGATTTATGAAGGGGAAAATCATGCTTAACCATTGTGATGGCCTTCTACAGTGAGATAACTTGCTTGGTGTCTGAGGGGAGAGTAGATCCAGCAGTGGATGTTGTTTAAATTGACTTTAGTAAGGCTTTTGACAGTGTCTCCCAAAACATCCTTGTAGGCAAACTGATAAATTATGGGCTAGACAATTAGACAGTGAACTGGTCTGAAAACCAGCTGAATGACTGGGCCCAGAAAGTTGTGATCAGTGGCACAAAGTTCAGCTGGGGACAAGTGACTAGTGGTGTAGCCCAGGGTCAATACTGGGGCAAATACTGTTTAACATCTTCATGAGAGCCCTGTATGATGGGACAGAGTGTGCCCTTGTCATGATTGCAAATGATACAGAACTTGGAGGAGTAGCTAGACCAGATGGTTGCACTGCCATTCAGAGGAACCTGGACAGGCTGGAGAAATGGTCAGAAATTAACCTCATGACATTCAGCAAAGGAAAATGCAAAATCCTGCATCTGAGGAAGTATGGCACCAGTACAACTGGTTCACAGTTGTTTTCCTCCAGTAAGATCAGATGCCACAGTTAGGTGGACTAAGGCAACTGGTGCCATTCTAACCAGAACATCAAGGGCCCAAAGTTTTCTGGGCCTTTTAAAACATTTTACTTATTTAAAACCACTTTAATGTTGGAAATTTGCCATTCCATCTATGTAGGAAGTTGATGTTGAGCTGAAATAATACAAGTGTGAGGCATGATACCCTGCCCTCTCCACTGGCTTCATATTGCTTCTGAGATGGGCTGCTCTCAGGGCCTTGGATGCACTCAGAAGCAGTGAAATGTTTAAAGATTGCTAATTATTTTCCCTGTTAATTACCTGTATGCCTCATGTATTGTACAACCAACACTGCTCAGCCCTTTTCTGATGGAACCTGTGCCTGTGTGCAAAACAAAAAAATCCACTGTGGCTGCAGTCACATGTAGCTAATGAAAGGCTTTAAACTCCCTTCTTATAAGATTCCTCAGCTGCAGATTAGGACATTCATCCTAAATGAAAGGATGAGGGAAGGATAATTCCCAAGAGGCACTGAGTAGCTACAGCATTTGTCAAATCCTGCTGACCTCTCCTCAGTTTGCTGCTCCTATTCCACCCTCCCTGGGTCACACCTCACCCACATAGGCAACATACCTTAGAGGATATTTTTAATGCATGTGAATATAGAAACTAACTAATGGATGGATTTTTCTGCACCTCTGAGTGAAAGCACTGCAATTGGAGGAGCCTGTGTTCTTCCTCCCTCCCCCAGTGTGCAAAAGTCAACCCGGGAATTGCCAGTGGAGCTTCTTTTTCACAGCTCTGTTGTGTCCTGTTGTCTCTAGTAAGCCTCTCCATCCTCACTATTGGTCTTAAAGCGGCCTCACAAATAATGCACCCTGCAGAAAATATTTTGGAGGATGGATGGTGCCAGTGTTTCCTGTTGCCAAGAGCATCATGCTGTGTGCCTCTGGTCCCCATGGCTAGCCCTTGTCCCTGACTGAGGGACCTGCAGGAGAGCAGGGAGAAGAGCCAAACACCATAATCCAGCTAGGCCACTTTGACTCACTGCTCTCCATTTAAGTAACTCATTTGACTGGGGCTAGGTCAAATGACTGGGGCTAGGTAGTGACAGGGATTGGTTCTCAGCTTTGGGTGCTGGTCCCTTGACTGCAAGCATTGCATTTCATCCTGCACTCCATCAGAAGGGTTTAAGAGATCAACAACAAGTAACGCCATCTTGAATTAATACTTTTTGGCCATGCTTTTTCACAGTGCCTCTTTGTGTTTCTGCCTGGATGCAAACAGTGTTTGAGAAAGGGTTCAATGCATTTAGCTGGATGCAGGCAGTGAGCAGCTAGAAGCCCCAGAAGCTGCTGAGGAGGCTGGGCTGCAGCACTGACCTCCAGGCACTGGGGCAGGAAGAAGCTGCAGGTCAACTTCCTGCTTGGAAAGGAGGGACTGACTCCACAGTCTGTCAGAAGCAGCTTTCTCCTCCCATCTCTTTCCAGGTGGAAGAGTCTGGTCAATTAAACTGAGGATTGGGAAACAGACTTTGAAGCAGACAAGCAAACTTACCACGTTTGAGTGCTCAGTTGCAGAGATGAGCATGAGTCACGGTAAGAGTTAATAAGGGAGGGTCACATTTGCTTTTTCTGTACAAATGAATATCTGTAGTATGCATCAGAAATAGTTTTTCACTTTACCCATTGTGAGTTCACACAAACTGTCATATTTTTGATAGGCATTTTTTCCAGGTGAGTTTAAAATTACTTTAATATGAACAAACCATGTCAGATCACAGCCATTCTGGAACAAGTTGCTTCCAAGAGACTGGTTAACAGTTAGCCCCAATTACAAAATCAAAAATGGAAATGGATTTAGAAAATAGAAATAGAAATGGATTGCAGCCTTGAGTTGCTGAAATTAACTACAAAAATTAAATTAGGTAAATTAGGAGCCTCTCATTGTGCTTCTAGATGGCTTTTTGCTACTCTGATCCAGCTAAAAGGCATGACTTGCTGATTACACTGTAAAAGTGAGAAGCAGGTCTGGCATAATATGACTGCTGGATAAATTAATTACTCCTTCTCTTGCTGGCTCCTCTGGCAGGAGGGATAAAAGATGATTCTGGTAAAGCTGGATGCTTTGTTTTAACCCCAGCCAGCCACTAGGACCATGCAGCTGCTTGCTCACTCCCCTCCCACCCCCGCAGTATGGTAGGGAGAAGAGGGAGAAAAGGAGGGGGGAAAAAACCCTCCTGGGTTGAGATAAGGACAGTTTAATAGAACAGTAACAGAAGAGGATAATAGTAGTAGTAGTAGAAGAAGAAGAAGAAGAAGAAGAAGAAGAAGAAGAAGAAGAAGAATACACAGGATAAAGTGATACACCACCAGTCACTCTCACCATCTGATGATTGGTTGCCCATCCCATCCTGAGCTGTGATTGTGGATTTCCGCTCCCTTGCCAACCCCCATTTTTATACTGAGCATGACACCTATGGTACAGAATATTCCCTTGGCCAGATTGTTCTGTTTACGGTCCCTCTCAGCTTCTATGGGAAGATGAAAAAGTCCTTGAGTAATGTAAACACCACTTAGCAACAACTAAAACAATATGTTATCAACATTATTCTCATACTAAATTCAAAACACAGCAGCTACTAGAAAGAAAATTAACTCTATCCCAGCTGAAACTAGGACACTACAAAAAGCTTGTATTTTAACCACAGGAAACCTAAACCATGAGAACAATCAGTCAAGGTCCTCCTGAGACAGTAACCTGAGAAACTAAAGAATCATATGAAATTCAACCTTTCAAAATTTTCCAAATTTTATTTACTAACAGTGCCAATTGTCCTACAAAGTCCCCCTTCCCAAAGTAAAAATAAACAAATGACACTATTATGTGTAGAACCATTAGAAAAGAAAAAAGTGGAAAAAAAATATGTATGTTTGCATGAATTCATCAGGAGTTGTGAGTTAATATCTGAGCTGGTTTGCTTTCTTGGATTTCATGAGTTTCAGAGGTTGGGCTCACAATTGCTTTAAGGTGATCTAATTGCAGGGTCCTTCTGAAAGACTGCAGACTGCCTGTGCAGTGCTCTGCTCAAGCCTTTCCTTTGATTTTCTATGATCTATTACTGTTTCACAGCTGATTTTTTTTTTAAATTTAAATTCCACACATTTGCAGCTAATGGTCTTGCCAGTCAGCAAGATCTAATTACAAAGAAGTAGATTATTCATAGGAGTGGATTATTTGTAAAAGGATGTACTGTATAGAGCCTCCCTATCTGCAGGATTTAAAACGCTGTTGCTATCTACCATACACTGCTTATTTGACACAGTTTTGGTGAAGGAGTTGTATAATCTGCAGGTATATCAACGCATTAACTACCCCATTTGGGCAGAGTTCGTATCAGTAGGGACAGCAACTCTGCTGCTCTGAGTTCTCTCCTATAGCGATAGTAATAAACTGCTTCTGTTCTGACCTGATCTAAATGGTATCTCGGCTATTTCTGCAACAGTATCAACACTTTTCTTCCAGCATATCCAAAAAAATTAATGCCAGTGTAGGACCACAGAGCTAAAGCTCCTTTCAATATTATTAACATGCACAGCATTAGAGCCTTGTCTTTACTTTGCTCCTTCTTTGTCATCAAGCTTTCAAAATCTACTCAGATTTCACCATATCTCTTTTTGGTGATATGGTGCCATTTTGTCAACTTTCTGTGAAATGGGTAGTACTTCTGTTATTTCTGAATTTTCATTTAGCAATGTTTTTGCTGTACATTATTTATCTTTGTGGGTTTCTTTTTTTTATAGCAGGGTTACTAGGATCAGCAGAACATTTTTCAGCAAGTAACCTATTTTTTACAAAATTTATCTCTGGGCAGTCTTTCTGTACACCACGTTCATAAAAGTACTCTATATGTTATTCCCTAGAAACGACAGAAATATGGTACACATGACTTTTCAGGCACTCCTGTGGGAGATTAGATGTATTACGTCAAATTTACGTAACATACATGGACTGATATTTTCCAGTCCTGCCCTAAGTGAAAGAGTGGCTGCTCTTCTGCACTTGGGTGAGTGAGAAGGTCAGAGAGAAATGGTACAGGGCTGTTTCTGGATCTCTGCAGGAGAGGGACCAACAACAAATCGCTTAATAAAACAGTGGTTTTAATAAAATAGAATAAAAAGAGGAATATAGATAGTGAGTAAATCTTATGTCCCTTCAGATGCAGGGTACCTTGCTTTTGTGTAGCATCAGAGGGAGCCTGGATGGACTTCCCCAACAGCATGCTGTGGGATTCTGTCCTCCCTCCCATGCTGCAGTGACTTTTCTTTTGAGTAACAAACAGGAACATATATCTTCTCCTCACAAGTTGCAATATTATTTCTGTCATAACATTACCTGCGCGCAGCACAGGCCAGCACAGGTCACTCACACAGGTTCCCTTACGGCATCTATTAATGTAAACACACCAACCGTAAGTACAAGGACCAATAGACATGGCTTCCAATACTGTTGTATAAGCAGATGGTAGTCCTGTAACAACTGCAGACATTCCCTCCATTTGCCTGGGAGACAGCATCACATATTGGTGATGGCAGGAGTATTATGAACATCTGGTTCCTTTTAACAGTGAGAAAATTTTCACCAGATTCTTTCTTCTTCACTCAGTCATCGCTTAGTGTAGGGACGAGGCTGTAATGGCAACCTCTGTTGCTCAAGGCCTCCTTGTCATATTGAGGTACAGGCCTGGGAAGGTAGGAAGAGAATGAGATTAACGAATAGTAATGTCCAAGCAGTAAAAAACATTGCAGCCATTTCCTTTGCTACATCTTCCCTGCAGCATGGGTCACCAGGGCCACCATTTTCATCTTCTCTTTCTGATGCTGTTGCATAGGTAAAAAACCATTCTCCCTTGCAGCTTGAAAAGTAACAAGGCCTTTTCAGTTTTCTATAAATGGTATAGAGATGAGGGCTGATGCAGGCTATTCCTGGACAAAAGAAAGCCTATGCAGGTGACACATGGCACCTGCTCTCTTTTCTTTAGGTTTATATGGCTATTATGTACCGAATAAAAAATACTTAAAGACTTTTCACTAACAACAATAGCTGTAAAAAATGTAGCATCAGCACAGAGCGGAAATTCTTTAACAGCTGTGTGACATAGTCCCTGAGTTTTCTAACTGCAGGTATGAGCTACCAAACTGCGTTTTTTGGCATACAAGTTTGTTACTAAAATTAAACTACACTTTTTGAAGAAACACGTTGACTAAATTTTAATACAGGTACTTAAATTCTACCTATGTAAAATCCTCCCTCCGGGCTGAACTAAGTACAGTTTATTACAAAAGAAAAACACGTCCGGTGTCAAGGGTGAATAATTTTTACCATGGATCATAGCAACCCATCATGACTGAGAAAAAAGATTAACAACTATTTGACAGAATGAGATATAAGTCGTCAGTGAGACTTCTTTGAAATTTCTGATCATGTAGTTCTTACACAAATATTTATCTCACTGTTTCTCAAGAGCTGTTGTTACTGAGATAAGATTGTAAACCCTGTGCCCAAACCTGCAGATATTGAAAAAGAGACAGAGTGCCATCTTGTGGATGCTACAGGAACATAAAAATTTGTTCCAGAAACACGTATTCCTTAAAAAAAGAATGGAAGTATGCAAGCATACATCTGTTTATATAGACATTATAACCAAAGGGGTAGCTTATTATTAACAGGAAGAAGCATATTATGCGCAATATAAACGTACCTGCCTCACAATTTATTTCTTTTTTGCTCTACAACCGAAATAAACTGAAAATTCCAGGGGCGAGTGGTCACAGATGAGTGGACACATTGTTTACTGTTATGGCTTGTCATTAAGTTAGGCAACTAGGTAACAACTTTGATATTTGGTCTTAATATTCAAGATGCTGCCATTACTAAATATCATTAAACAAAACTTTTTGTAGCATCTCTCCACATGCTGTCTGACAGCAGAACAGAATGTATGCAGTAGTGGCATGGGACTTTTTTTTAATCTACTTTTCCTTCTTTTACATAAATTACCACTATTCTTTTTTGTTCAGCTGAAGTTATGTAAACTATGATCTGTAAGTCAGCCAAAGTTACTCAAACTGAAGCAAGGAATTAAAATGTTAGCATTAAACAGATGGTGGGGAGCAGTATGAGAGAAAAAAGAATTAGTAAGAGGTAAATTTGAGGTGCAATCATTTTAAAAACAATTTTGGCCTTATTCTATAAAATAACTAGTGCCCAGAGATCTGTGAATTGGTAGCATTCAGTATTTTGTGGTGCAACATAATCAGTCTCTCAAAACACTTTCCCATTATTAGAATGAGCTGGTTACCGTTGGCTTTGCCTGCAATTCGGTATGAGCATGTCATAGGTCCTTAGGCTGCTTTTCTTTAGAAAAAAAATAGCCAATAGCGTTAGAGGTAACTCCAGCAGCACTTTTGTAACTTGTTATATCAAACTGGTAAAGCTAGCAACTGTGCCTTACAGGAATAACGGGAAACGACTGGGAATTCACTTCAAGGACTTTGATGATTTTTCAAGATATTGATATGCGCTTTTATATCAATATGCGTTAGTACACTGCAGGAGTCCTGAGTAAGACCCCCAAGACTTATTTGGCATCTATACCACTGACATAAACAGACCAGCAGAGGCTGTCTGCTGTGTAGTGGAGACTGTATATACACACCTGTTATCTGCTATCTTGAATGGCACATATGCAAATTCAATTTATTTGAGCTGGATCAGGTCAGAAAAGAAAGCATCAATCAGCTGGGTATATTAAAGCAGCATAGTGACACACCTACAACATGAAAAGTGACTGGAAACAGGACATTAAAGAAAGAAGTATTGTAGGGGGTTTTACTTTCTAATACAGTGAATACAGGATGAGTGTTTCTGTCCGGATGTCTCTTCCTGAAAGAAATCCCTGCAGTGCTGGCCTGACAAGCCATGGGAGAGTACAAATTATTTTTCTTTAGCAAGCAACTCCAGTTTGTCATAATTATGTAATAAAAAATAAAATAATAACAAAACATCATGGTTTGGGCCCAACCATCCACTGCGTGGAACGACAGATGCTCTCCCCTGCTGCTCTTCAAAGAGAGGCAGGAGAGAGAGACTTCTGAGTTTAGAAGGAACTAAACTAATGAAATATTAAAATAAAAAGAAATAATGACATATGTAAAAAACCCTATCAGGCTCCTAGGATGACCATCATGACACCGGCTGGCACTGGGGCAGTCCCAGGCTGGACTCAGTGACGGACAGGAACTGGATTCCGGATCTGCATTCAGGATCGGGATCACAGGCAGATGAACACAGAGTCCTCCTCAGACAGTGTCCGTTGAAGAAAGAGGGCTGAGCCTTTGATCCCTCAGCTTTCATACGGAGCATGAGGCAGAAGGGATAGAATACCCCGTTGGTCAGTTTTGGGTCACCTGTCCTGTCCGCTCCTCCCCACAGGTGGGACCCCTCTACGCTTTTCCACTTCTGACGCTCCAACAGGTCAAAAGACCAAGTTATCTTCCCTTGGGTGTTATAGCAATAAGTATAAGCGAGAGCCTCTCTGCATACCATGCCTGGGCATCAGCTATAAACATAGGTCTTGCCACTCTGAGAGAGCAAACAGTGTCTGCACAATATGCTGTTAATTTCAGTAGTTAGAAGAGGCCCAGCTAAGAAGTGAAGTTACTGAACAGAAAATTGGTTCTGTTTTACCTCAAACCAGGATATAAAAAAAAATAATATCTATTTTCACCGTTTTCCCCAGATGTCTGCCATATTCTGAAGCACTTGAGCTTTCCTGAAAGAAAAAGCAAAAATAAGAGTCGATGGGGAAGCAACGTTGGCCATTTCATGGGTGCTGAGCGCGCGGTGTGACTGCTGGGCGAAGAGGGCTGACAGCCCCAGCCCTGGCCACTGCCCACCGCCCTCAGCTCGCACATTGCTCACGGCCTCCATTTTGTGTCACGAAGGCCGCTGCCCCGGCCACATCCAGCATCTCCC